GTTTTACAAAAATGGGATCGTGCCAAACCAACCTGATTTCCTTCTTTGAGAAAGTAACAGATTTTTTAGACAAAGGAAACGCAGTGGATCTAATTTACCTAGATTTCAGTAAGGCATTTGATACCGTGCCACATGGGGAATTATTAGTTAAATTGGAAAAGATGGGGATCAATATGAAAATTGAAAGGTGGATAAGGAATTGGTTAAAGGGGAGACTACAACGGGTCCTACTGAAAGGTGAACTGTCAGGCTGGAGGGAGGTTACCAGTGGAGTTCCTCAAGGATCGGTTTTGGGACCAATCTTATTTAATCTTTTTATTACTGACCTCGGCACAAAAAGTGGGAGTGTGCTAATAAAGTTTGCGGATGATACAAAGCTGGGGTCCAATTTAGAGAAGGACCGGGATATCAGACAGGAGGATCTGGATGACTTTGTAAACTGAGGTAATAGTAATAGGATGAAATTTAATAGTGAGAAGTGTAAGGTTAGGCATTTAGGGATTAATAACAAGAATTTTAGTTGTAAGCTGGGGCCGCATCAATTAGAAGTAACGGAGGAGGAGAAGGACCTTGGAGTATTGGTTGATCATAGGATGACTATAAGCTGCCAATGTGATATGGCCATGAAAAAAGCTAATGTGGTCTTGGGATGCATCAGGAGAGGTATTTCCAGTAGAGATAAGGAGGTGTTAGTACCGTTATACAAGGCACTAGTGAGACCTCACCTGGAATACTGTGCGCAGTTCTGGTCTCCCATGTTTAAGAATGAATTCAAACCGGAACGGGTACAGAGGGGGGCTACTAGGATGATCCGAGGAATGGAAAACTTGTCTTATGAAAGCAGACTCAAGGAGCCTGGCTTGTTTAGCCTAACTAAAAGAAGGTTGAGGGGAGATATGATTGCTCTCTCTAAATATATCAGAAGGATAAATACCGGAGAGGGAGAGGAATTATTTAAGCTCAGTACCAATGTAGACACAAGAACAAATGGATATAAACTGGCCATCAGAAAGTTTAGACTTGAAATTAGACGAAGATTTCTAACCATCAGAGGAGTAAAGTTTTGGAATAGCCTTCCAAGGGAAGCAGTGGGGGCAAAAGATCTATCTGGCTTTAAGATTAAACTCGATAAGTTTATGGAGGAGATGGTATGAGGGGATAACATGATTTTGGTAATTAATTGATCTTTAAATATTCAAGGTAAATAGGCCTAATGGCCTGTGCTGGGATGGGATCTGAGTTACCCAGGAAAGAATTTTCTGTAGTATCTGGCTGGTGAATCTTGCCCATATGCTCAGGGTTCAGCTGATCGCCATATCTGGGGTGGGGAAGGAATTTTCCTCCAGCGCAGATTGGAAGAGGCTCTGGAGGTTTTTCGCCTTCCTCTGTAGCATGGGGCACGGGTCAGTTGCTGGAGGATTCTCTGCTCCTTGAAGTCTTTAAACCATGATTTGAGGACTTCAATAGCTCAGACAAAGGTGAGAGGTTTTTCGCAGGAGTGGTGGGTGAGATTCTGCGGCCTGCGTTGTGCAGAAGGTCAGACTAGATGATCATAATGGTCCCTTCTGACCTTAGTATCTATGTATCTGAGAGAGAAAATGTTTTGCAGATGCAAGATGAACCATTATAAGTCAGGTTTAAACATATATAAAAGTGTGTCCACACAGTGATTATCAGTTTAACTGTTTTTAAACCCATTTAAGTTAAGCTGGTACAACTTATATTTAGACAAGCCCTAAGTCATTGTACAGTGCCTAGAACAATGGAGCCTGATCTCAGCTGGGGCCTCAAGGCACAACTATAATACATATAAGTCATAGTCTAAATATAGGATCCAGGAACCTCCTAAGGCACCCAAGTTTGAATAGATTGAACAAATGTCTTCAGAAAGCATTAGAAAAAGTGTAGCTGAGATTGTCATTCTATCATTAATTCCTACTATGATATTGTTTTGTGTAAATTAAAACATGACATTACTAAATTCCCTGGTTCAGTGCTCTCTAATTTCTGTTTTCAGGATGTCTCACGTGCCAAGTTAGCAACCATAATTCCAGACCCTGTGGTGGCTCCTTCTATTGTGCCTGTTCTAAAAGATGAAGTGGACAGAAAACCTGAATACCCAAAACCAGACACACAGCAGATGATTCCATTTCAGCCAAGACATTTAGCACGTAAGTCGAGAGTTTAGTCATGTTAAGGTTGGAGACTTCGTTCAGGGGCCTGTTACTGTCCCCCTAACTCACATCAAGCCATCCCATTGAATTTAATGGGGATACTCATGAAGGCTCCTGTTCAGAAAAGCACCGACTTAATTTTAGGCATCTGCTTAAATCCCATTGGGACTTCAAAAGAATTTACGCACATCTAAAGTTAAGTTGGTTCTTAAGTGCTTTGCTGGATTGGGATAGGCATAAGTCTTTGCTGAACAGAGGCCAGACTAAGGTAAGCATGAGAAAGGGTAGCAGAAGCCTCAGGGCTAACATGCTGTAGGTTGTTTTATAGGATTCAGATAGCTGAAGACAATGACAAAATGTACTTCTGCCAATTATTCATTTGTGTCAGATAGAAGAGCTCTAAAGCTTGAATTACTCTGCCATTCACATTTGATTTATACTGTTCTTTTCCTCAATAGCTCCAGGTTTGCATCCTGTGCCAGGTGGTGTATTTCCAGTCCCACCAGCTGCTGTAGTTTTAATGAAACTCCTCCCACCACCTGTGTGTTTTCAGGTTTGTTTCAATAATTAAATATTCCACAGGCTTCCCAACTGGTACATACACTCCAGTACTGTGCTACTTAATGCTTCCAGTAATGTGTAAGTATTTCCCAGTCAGTCATCTAAATTCTTCTCCAATAACAGGGCCCTTTTGTGCAAGTGGATGAACTCATGGAGATTTTTCGAAGATGCAAAATGCCAGAAAGTAAGTTTTTCTCCATTTTTATTCTGTGTCCTTGAAGTAGCAACACGGCAGTGCATGGTGAGTGTGGGGATAGCTGTATATCCTCTTACACAAGAAATCTGCCTAGCAGTCTGTACTGAGATTACGCTGCTGCGTGCTGCCCTTTGATTATTTGAGATTTCCCTGTAATAAAGAAATGAGAATTATTGGGTCAGTATATTTCTCTGATTCATTATTGTTTCTATTAGGGCTGCTGTAAAATTCTACAACTTTCCCATTATCATTTCCTGAGGTGAATGGTTCATAACTCAGCTAATAAAAGCCCCTCAGGCCTGGACCTGGGCACACACCTTTTCATTCCCCAAGTACACATTTCACAAACTTAAGAGGCATTGGCCATTTTAGAGTATGCATTAACCATTCAGAATGGGGCTGTATAATCAACAAGAGATCTGAATGGATCAAGAGTCTCTTTATGGGTCTGGTCCCCTAATGCTTATAGTAGAACATGCCACAATGGGGCTGCTGTGAGATCTAATGTGCAACTTTCTCAGTATCTTCACCCTATATTGGAGCAAGTGACCAGACCTGAAACTAAAACTTAAGTCTTGCTTGTTACAGGAGAAAGTCACCTTAGGCAAGGATACTAAAGATGTTGTTTTCCATTTTGGACATCAGTTTCCACCTGAGATGTTTTCTGAAAGTAGCATGCAGCCAAAGTGACTCAAGTGTCAAAGCAGTACATTTCACTTGACTTTTCCCTGAAGATGTTTTCCCATGCAGTATAGTTTCCAGCCCACTCATTATTTTTGTTGCAAGATTGACATCCAGTGAGATGACTTAGATTTTGAGAATTCCCTAAATGGAGAAGGTGCCTTGTTGTTTTAAAGTAAAGTAATTTTTTAAATGACAGTATCCTGGACTCTCACAAATATTTGTAAGGAGTAAAATGGCAGAATTCTTCATTGTCCAAAGTGCAGTGGATCTAATCAGTGGCTTAAATGAACTGTCTTTTTTCATGTCCTTGTTAGTTAAATTCGAGTCAAGCACCATCTTACAGAAACGTTAAGAGAGACTGAGAAACGTGGAAGGAATGCTGTGTTAGGAAGTTTCTGAAATGTAACATTTCAAAGCTAAAACGTCCTGCTTTCGCAAACTAAGCTACACCACTCAGTGTGAGTTCTATTCCCCCTTCGGCAACACACTTTAACAGCAGCATATCCTTTGTCAGAGGCAGTAGTAGGAAATCCTGACTCTCATGTGATGTCAAAGGGTGACACATTTCTGTTCTGTTTTTAGCAGTGCGTCTCAGTACACCTGCATAGTGTCCAGGGCAGCTTAATAACTTGCTGACTTGTTTTGCTTATCAAGGAAAACCCAGTTTGTTTCTGAAGCCAATTAATCTTTCTTCTTCCAAAGCTGTTGATGAAGCTGTAAGAATAATTACTGGAGGCCTGCCTGAATTAACTGTGGAAGGCAATGGACCTGTGGAAAATAATACCATGTTCAATAAAGCTGTCAAGAGACCAAATGAAGATTCTGATGATGAAGAGGAGAAGGGATCTGTGGTTCCTCCTGTACATGACATATACAGAGCACGACAGCAAAAGCGAATCCGATGAAACAGGTTCCAAATCGGACTGCAAAAGACTTGTATGAAGAGATTTTTTTGCCTCTTATGTCAAATGTTTAAAAAGGGACAACCGTTTTTAACAAACATCTCCACCATGAGGTTTTGTTACTGTGGTGCCTCTTTATACTGTATGGTTCTTGATGAGCAGAGTCTTAGAAAGTGCTCTAAACAAAATTAGGTTTTTCAAGAATAGCACAAAATGTCTGAACTGCATTTTGTTCCTCTTCAAGTGTGTTAACATCTACCACTTGAAGTTTTGGGGGGCTTTCAACAGTTTTATTTTAAAAACTGGATGGCTTATAATTGTGAAGCATTTTTAATTCACAGTTCCTGGAAAACAGTTGTTCTCAGTTTGCTCATGTAGTGTCCTGCCTTATTGTTTGTTTTTATTTATGGCAGAATGTATGGAATCTGTTTTGTAGTTTTAAAATGGAAAAAAACATTCCATTAAAATAAAGATATCAATAACTTCATGCCTCATTTGGATTTTATGTATACATTCTTACATCAATCAAACAAAGCAGCCTCCCAAGAGATGTTCAGCTAAACATATTGGTTGGGAGGTAAATTCCTCATGTTTTCAGAGTCCTGCTCCCTCCCCAAAATGTTGGAAGATAGTACATTTCCTCATTCCAAAGTAAGTTAAAATGAAAAAACTGATCATGCTGTGTTGTCAGTTCATCAGATGCACACTCTGTATACTGAAATTTCCAGAAGCACTGTTAGTCCTGCATTAATTTTATCCATAGTTACGGTCTTTACAGGCAAAAACAAGCTATTAAACATTAAGTGTTTTGTTTCTTTTTTTAAATCACTGCAGTCTTTTTCAAATAGTTAATGGTGCATGGTTCTTTTAGAAGCAAATTCTGGGTAATTGTACATCTTAGATTGCATTTAAAAACTTGCACCTTAATATTACACATTGCACTTCAATAATTAGAGCATTATTTTTTCTCCAGATTATACAGGCTCTTACTACATAAGACAAACTTAAATTCCAACCATTGATGTGGATAACTGTAGTTTAGGGGTGCCAGTGAGATTTGAAGAGGTGGACGTATTCAGCCAGTAAAGTGTATTCTTCACAGTGTGCAAGTTGAATTTGCAGTAGGAATTGCTTAGTAACCTGCAAAAGCATAATTTCATTTGACAGGAGAGAAGGTAAAGTGTAGAGGGGGATATTTACAGAGGTAGCCCCTGATCTGTTTGGCACAGAATCCTAGAATGGGGAACAAATGTGGTTGTGTGAAGCAGCACAAAGAAGTTGAATCAGGTTCTAGTTGCTGGCCTGAGTGCTTACATTGCCACACTTATCTGAACTTATTTTTCAGTTTAGCTTGTCATCGAACAATCAATCAGAACACCTGGGGAAAGTAACCAAAATGTGACATAGTAACATTTAAAAAAAAAGTTTAGTAGTAAGTAACAAATGCCCAAAATAAACATAACACAGCAGCAACTTACACTATCTGCAAGACTGACAAAGCCCAAACATGGAGTCACTGGTTCTTGGTTAATGCAGTACCCCCCACTCAACCAATGTGCCTGCTGCCCAGATAGCTTTTACAAAAAATGTCAATAAAGCTTTAGGAACCGAAACACAATATTGAGAAAAACGACTTACTGTACTGAGCAATGGGCAACATGCCCTGGTGTGTGTTGGGAACAGTAAGCAGGAGCTGGCACTTGTGGACATCTGGACTTTGCAGCTTTGCCTAAATGGGGGTGATGATCTCCTACATTAAGCAAGTACACATTTATCCAGACAATTTGGTATTTGACTATTGCTTATCCATACAGTGAATCACCCATCCTGACATTGTACTTATTGCAGCATTTACTCAATGGATGCTAAGCACATGCAGTCTCTGCTCAGGAGCGATTGTTTCTATAGGCTTGTTTTAGCATTAAGCTTGTGGGTGGGTTTCTAAGTAAGCAGTTATCACAGTGATAAATGTACTAAGAAAGCCAGAACAGATCCAATGTATTTTTAAACAAAGCTGGTAGGGAACCACTCTTCCACTGCAATCAAGTAGTTTTTCTGGGAGGTACTAAAGTTTAAGTCTGGAACTTTGTGCAGGATTTCCCAAACACTTAGGGTACGTCTACACTACCCATCAGATCAGCGGGTAGTGATCGATCTATCAGGGACAGATTTATCACACCTAGTGTAGACATGATAAATTGATCCCCAATTGCTCTGCCATCAACTCCTGTACTCCACCGCTGCGAGAGGCAGAGTCAACAGGGAAGCGGCAGCAGTTGACCCCGTGCCGTGAGGACACGAGGTAAGTCAACCTAAGATACACAACTTCAGCTAAGAGAATAGCATAGCTGAAGTCAACATATCTTAGGTCAATTCCCCCCCACACACAGTGTAGACCAGGCCTTCTATAGCACAACATAAATAAAGCTCACCCACAAAAGCCATATGGTGCCAGTCACCACTCATCTGCTATGCTTATTCCTCACTTAACCACCCAGATCTGAAAATCTTTGGTGTAGGTGTCTAAGTAGTTTTATTTTCAGGAGTGCTGAGCACACAAGAACCAGGTTTGAAAATGTTAGCCTTAATCCTCAATTTCACATCATATCAGCTCATGACCCTTACTTCTCATTTTGGCATCAGTCTCTGGCTTGTTCCTACCTTGAAATTACCCTCAAACCTTTTGAGTGATTAAGTAGCCTGAAGTTTGGGAGCTTTCACTGAACTTGAATCTATAGAACTGGGCTAGAAATTGCATTAGAAATTGTGCTGATGACCTGAGAACCAGGATGTACAGAGGAGTGTGAAAATGAAAACAAAAATTCAATTTAAAAAAACAAATCTTGAACAGTTCAGCTATGTCCCTCCTCCCTATCCCATACCACTGCACCCATATCAAACAAAAATGGATGTAGTGGTACTAGCAAAAGGTACTGATCACTTTGTGGGTTGTATCCTTTTCCCCAGCACTGTTATTTTTAAGATTGTAAATCACTGCATTTATGGACAATATGGGCACTGCTGAAATATAAACAAAGAGCAGCAATTTAGGACCTGTACACTTAGATCCCATTAACAAGAATATCACAAGCAGAGTAGTTTGTTTTCTAACCTTCATCTCTCACAGGAATTGTTCAGGTGAAAACCAAAACATAGGTTACACAAAAAGGTAATATTGGGAGCTGCAACAGCATTTGGGCTATTATAATTCAAGAGCACCAGTTGCTGTAATAGGTTTAAAGCATCCACTGCTAATACACAAAAGAGTTAAGATCACACTGACACTACGCAAAGGTATAGAGAAATGTAGTACCAAGGCTTGAGGACAAGAGCAAGAAATGCTTCTCTCTAATAGCCCTCAGTAACTTCTATATATAGAAAGTATAGAGTTTGAAGGCCAGAGTCATCTAGTCCGAGTTCTTCGATATCGCAGGCAACCAATACCTGCACACTAAACCCAAAGACCAAAATTAGGCCAAAGTATTACAACACAGAGAAGACTAGACTATTATGTGCCACAGGCAGAGAACAAAGGGACTGAGGCACACCAGTGAGACAGAGAGTAGAATAGAACATAGACAATCCAAAAAATAGTGCTAGACAAACTTTTGAGCTTAAGCTACTTATTTTCAATTTACTAAAGAATGTTCAAAATATATATTTTCAGGAGTTCAGCCAAAAGAACCATCCAACAAAGAAAAATGGTTTTCTAATATTGTCATTAGTTTTGTAATCATAAAAATGAGGTAAGCTTTGTTTCAACCGAAGTTTGAGATTGATTTAATACGCTAATGTGGGGATACATCAAGCAAGTAAAGCTACTGTTAGTTTATTCCATCTTCCCCATAGAGCAGGAAACTGTTAGAGCCGTACATCTGATCTCAATTCAAGCCCTAGGAACTACTGAAATTTCAAAATGCAAAGGGAAGTGTAAGCATTAGAATAAGTACTCCAGGGTACCTCCCTTCCTATCACCATCATGTTAGACTGGTTGACTAGTCTGTCACATTCATTATTTTATTAATCAATAGTTTCAAAAGAGGCCACCTTTTAAATTCTTCATTTTAGAATACAGTAAATATTCTATTTTTGTCATAGCACGCCCACACCCCACTGCCCCAAAACTCTTAGGACATGGTACCAGCCTATCATTTATTAACATGAGCTCCTTTCATCTTATATTACCTGAGATGCTAAGAACTTTGGCAACCATTTCTTACCCAGAACCGGACGGGCTCTATCAGCTGAAGAAAGTTTCAATTTTGCTTTTAACTGTCCTAAACCTTATATTTACTTCCAAGAAAAGTTTAAATTTCAATATTTTATGAATTACTAAGATCAGAAATCCTTCAGAGTGCATTTAGAGGACAGCTTGCTAGTTATCTTCTCAATCTAAAATATTTCAAGAGTTCAAGAACATCTGTAAAAAGTGAAAAAGCATCTAAAACACTAAATAATATTTTCCCATGACTTTAAATAGTTCATTTCCTACTATACCTTTTAAAGTCACTGCTTAAAATATTAAGGAATTCTTGGTATGTTTCAATTTCAGTGATATTTCTGAAACTATGAGCATATACAATTGTCTCGTAAGCCACACAGTCTTAGGGGAAAAAAATGAGGAAATTTCCTCAAGCCTGAAATTCAATGCACAAGTCTTTATCCATCTTCTGAAAATGTTTACTTTAGTATTTCACATAAAAAGGAGTAAACTACCAGCAAATGAAAGGCAAGAAATGCCACTCTTTTCAAAACATTTCTCTTGGCCCATCTGAAAGTTTTACAGAGGTAAATTCAGCTGCAATCTTATAGACTGTCACCCTTGTAACACTGTACATAGAAGAAGAGCGTTATTTGATAACCAGAAAATTCACTACAAAATATAATTATATCATGTTTTTGGTTACTTATTTGCAGATAGAGACCAAAAATTGCCATAGAAAAAATGTGATTAGCAGAAAGACTAGTAGCCTTATATTATTACAATAAAATGCAATGTTTGGACCTGCTCTTAAGTACCATTATTCAAGTTTCTTACATCTCAAATTTTAAACTATTTCTTCAGTTGTTAAAATAGGATTTCAGAAGGCCAAATCACTCAGTATGGAACAGACCTTGGCTAATCTTCTCTAGATGAACGCACACACTAACTTCATGGTAAATTGGAGAGTTAGAATGCTACAAAAAGCCCCCCACAAAATCAGCAATTTAAAAATGCAGTCTGTTTGTACAATTGTTTAGTCTTATCTAACATCTGCTCAGTAGCAAAAACTACAGCCATAAAATTAACAAACATATCCTCAGCATGAATACTTGTGCTAAAAATGCATCTATTTACCATTTAATTCAAAGCACCTATTCCAACTTATACATAATTTTCCCCTTCAGAATCAGTGCTATTGAGTTACAGTAATAAAACTATGTTTTAATGGAATGCCATTTTCCAAAGCCAAGTTAATTGCAATTTTGTTAGCAGACAAAATTAACACTATCTAGATAACATACAAACTGGTATGATGATTCTTCTGACTACCCTAACAATTGGGATTCTTCCTTATTCAGTAGTTTGCTGAGGATCACATCATAGTAAGGGCTAAACACCATCTTGTTATAGTTGACAAGGCGAACGTACTTGACAGCAATTTCTTCCATCTCTCTTTGAATAGGCCCTAATCCCCCAGGAATAGCAGGAAATGATTTCTGATGACCAGAAGCCAGATAGCTCTCCAAAAATTCCTGAATTCGTGAATCTGGAAAAAAAAAAAACGACCAATGTACTTTTAAATACAAAACAACAATGCATGTGATCTTCCTCCATGGTGCACTACCAAAAAAAACCCAAACCCACATTAAAAAGAATTGGTGAGAACACCCTGTGTTATGTACTTCAATCCAGAGACTCCTCTGAGCATAGACTCCCAACATTATGTTTTACTGTCCAAAAAGATTGTTTAAATAATCATCACTTCAGGCAGTACACTTGGTGATGCAGGTGGTGGGGCAGCTCAGTGAAGATCCAAGTTTAGGAATAGATCACTTCTACAGTTGGAACTTGGGCAACTACATTTGAAAATTCTGACCTGATTTTCAGAGTTGTTGAGCTGCCCAAGAGGTCAAGGTAAGGCACTCAACTTTGTCTAGTGGCTCACCATACATCAGAAGCAAGTGTTATTAAATAAATAAATCAATCAATCATACAAAACAGGTTATTCAATGGGTTTACTAGTAGCAAAAGTAAAAAGCATGCTTGAGAACACTGCATATACACTCCAAGATTACCTATCAATTTGCATATAGTGTTGTCAGAATTTCCCAATGTCTGGATCTGTCCTTTAAGCACAATCTCTTTCTCAGTTGTCAATGGCATGAATCCATGTTGGGAAAGACAGCTACTAACTTCAGCACAGACCTTCTCACCAACAGTAGCCAAAGATTCACTCAGATTAAAGGAGCTAGAGAGAACACAAAGGAGTAAACCATTCCTTAAGGATTGTTGCTTAGTCATTTATTTTGACTCTTTACGATCAGTCCAATTATATTGATTTGAGCTGCCTATATATAAACAAAACACTTGTTCCTCTCACCACCACTGTCTATGGCAGTCATCCTAAACCTACAGGTGTCTGCACATATGTACAGAACAAACAATTTTGTGAAGGATGGAGGGAGACTGGTCCAAGCTATGAAGCTTGGTTAATTGCCAACATGAAGCTGTGGACTTGGTAGAAGACTTCACATGAAAGACAGTAATGACAGCAAATGAATTGTTTGCCACAGGAATGTCAGATGGGGAGGAAAGGAATAAGGTGGTTAATTTCCTTAGGAAAAACTGCTAGCTTTGTATACTTGTGTGAGCGAAAGCCCTCCATTCTAATTGCTTGTCCCTTCTATCCTCTCCTAAGTTTCTTGAAGTCAAGAGAGTAAGAGAAGCCCATGCAATCAATACTCACTAGGATCACAACAAAATTAAGCCACTGAACACCACTTCCACTATTGAACATAGCATAGGTGAGAGATGCTAGGTAGGAGTCATTCAGATACTCACGGAAGGTGCATTCCCGTCAACAACACCTTTATAATGGTTTTGATTTTGTCAGCAAACCCTGGCAGATTGGAAAGCGCTGCACCTGCTACATTGAACATGACCAGGAGGATAGCACCCGTCACGGTGAGCTGTCCCAGCTCCAGCTGCATTTCCTGAAAGCGGGTGTGGTCCATTAACAATGTCTGCAACGACAGAGTAAAATCAAAATACTGGGATAACAAAGTATAGTGAAGATGAAATTATGAGGCCAGGTAACATAATGAAGATTATTCTGAAAACTGAATTCCGTTAGTACACTGACTTCAAAATTGTATCAGTATTCCATTCATCTGAAGGGTGGGCCAATGGCACCAACGCCACACTGAGTAAAATCTGTAAGCAGCAAGTTCGGAAGCCCAGAGAGGAAACATTCTCCATTTGCTTCTCCTACAAGATTTCCCAATTTGCTCCTCAAACCAGATTCCCAGATAGCAGTATAATTCAATGGCACTGTTAATATATAGCAAAAAGATGCAATACTCAGAAAACAGTCCTCTTCAAATTAAAAGCTTTTACTATGGTTAAAGTTAGATAATTACTAGAGATTCCTCTCTCTAGGACCCTTCAAGGGATTGGTGTTGCAGTGGGATAGTGCACCAGTCTTTTATTTCCAACACCTAATTACACAATCAGTCTAGTCAAATATGGTCCATTTAATCTGATATTTTCCCTCTAATGGTGGACAGTGCAACAAATCCACAATGAACAATTATAGAATAACCTTCCTACGGGAGAAATCTTTCTACACTGGTTAGTTAGTGGCTGGTTTATGGACTGAAGATGTTTGGATCCATTATATGCTTTTTACCCTAAGGCAGACCCAAGGTTAAGTCTCAGTAAAGGTCTCATCTTAGTGCTCAGAGGACAGTTGTTTCCATCCCAAATACCACCATTTATGTTTATTAAAACTCAGCATGATAGGCAGTTTGCGCTCCAGAAGTGGAGTATCAGGGATTAGTAGGTGAGAACCAAGGTGATTTAACAGAGCTGTGTTGGTAAACTTGCACAATGCCTGGGGCTTTATCTAATGTTTTCAGTCCCGCACTTTCATGAGCACTAATTCAATTCACAAAAAGAAGAGAGTGTTTTTTAAAAATGCTGATGTTTCATCTTTGAATTACTCCGCTTCTATTACAGATGGATTTGTTTCAAGACAAACGAATAAAAATATTCTCCTTTTGAGATAAAAAGTTAAAAAACTTATTGGGTTACTACATTCAAAATAAAGCATGAGAGTTATCAATTAATGGATCACATTACACCAATCATAATTTATAGTGAACAATGTAAACTTTTGTAGATCAGTTGTGAATGTTAGTTTTCTGAAGTCTCTCACACGTCCCTCCCTCTCAAAACAGAGTTACAGGGAAATACATTAGATGGTTCATAAGATACGAGTTATAACCACCATAAAGGGGAAAGATTTTGTAGAGAGTTCATCCTGGGTGGGCAAACAGCTGTTTGATTACTTAACTCGATGTCAGTTCTTGACATGTCATATCCCTTATGCTTCTCCTCCATCAAACTGAATACAATGGTCAAAGTTAATGGAATCTCTCTCTCTAGGTTTACAGTGGTACAACAGAATCTAGCTGCACTGCTTCTACAATAACCTGAAGGTTGTCAATCTAGTTTAAATTCAGAGGTTTGGGTTCAGAATCTTCCCAGCAATGAACTAGCTGTCCAGGTCTTAAATATAAGAAGGTAAGAGACAATTGATTAAAGATATCAAGACAGAAAGACAATTCTTCTACTGCGAAATCCTAAACCTGAGATTTATGCTATGAGCCTCCTACACAAAGAGATAGTTAAACGGAGACATATTGCATGCATAAAACCAGACATTAGTAATCAAAACATCTGCTCAGTCATGCAGGAAGAACTCTTTTCAGCATCTTTTTTCTTTACAGTTGCTGCAACTCACATAACATAATGCACTTTATGAACCACTGTAGTGAGAGACCATGTGACAGTGTTTGAGAGTGATATATACATACATAACCCACAGAAAATTACAAAATCATACACAGAAAATTCATAATGGAACTCCCTAAAGGATCACCTATTAAAGAAGTAACCTGAGAAAAAGAATACATTATGATTTGTATTACAGTAGCATCAAGGTTTCCCACTGAGATTGGAACACTCCTGTGCTGGGCACTGTGCAAAGTATTAGACTATCCCGGTCCTGAAGAGTTTACAGTCTAAATAGATAAGACAGAAAAATGGTGGGAGGGAAATCAAAGGCCCAGAAAAGGAAATGACTCGTACAGTGACACAGAGCCAGGAACAGAACCAAATCTCCAGATTCCCAGTCCAGTGCTCTATACCAGAGATGGCCAACCCGTGGCTCCGGAGCCACATGCGACTCTTCAGAAGTTAATATGCGGCTCCTTGTATAGGCACTGACCCTGGGGCTGGAGCTACAGGCGCCGACTTTCCAGTGTGCCGGGGGGTGTTCACTGCTCAAACCCTGGCTCTGCCACAGGCCCTGCCCCCACTCCAGCCCTTTCCGCCCCGAGCCTGCCATGCCCTCTCTCTTCCCCCTGCCCACCTCCCAAGCCTCCTGCACGCCATGAAACAGCTAATCGGGAGGTGCAGGGAGGAGCTGATCGACAAGGCTGCCTGTGGGCAGGAGGCGCTGAGAGCAGGACTGCTGACGTATTACTGTGGCTCTTTGGCAATGTACATTGGTAAATTCTGGTTTCTTCTCAGGCTCAGGTTGGCTACCCCTCCTCTATACAGTAGATTACACTCCCTCACCTTCAGTTAAACTTCAGTTTTGAAGAAAAATAAAAAAAAATTCAGAATGTTGTTATCCTATTAAAAGAGTTGCAAGAGTTCCAGTTAAAATACTAAAAGATTTAGGATTTATGTCAAGAACAAGGTTATAGATCCAAATGATTTCTGCTTTTTCACCAAACACTGTGTAGAAAATTAAATAAAAGAAGCTACGTCTTCTCTTAAATACCTACTTCTGGGAAAGGCCTGTGCACATGATCCCACTTAAGCAGCTTTAGATAGGCCCAATTCTGTACAGCAGCAGGACACAATACAGGAACTCCACTAGCTGCAGCACCAACACCAGGGGAAGGTGGATTTTTACACCTCAAGTTGGCAAGATCATCTGATGCTTCTTGCAGCCAGTCGGTGACAAAGTCTAGAGAATCTGAAAGAAAGCAGTTTGGTAAAAATCTTACTTTCAGGAGTTATCTTTTTTCCCCCCCATGAATAGTTTTCAAATAATACCACTACTAGGCTCTCCTAATACCCACGGTGCTAGTTACTGAGATGCATTTTATTTACTTTATGATTCAGAACTTCTGGAGGACACCAACGCAGATTGAACACAGAGAACCTTGTGGATGGAAACCACAAATTAATCTGGCAGTACTACAGACTAGCATGTTGATGCTGATTTATAGTGCCATATATTACATGGATATCCCGGGTCTGGGTTTGTTTTAAATGCAGAATTGTTGTACCGGTAAATTTCTTGAATTGAAGCCTACGGACCAGAGGTATCTCTATTTGCATCATGGAGCAATGTAACAAAATACTTATTTTGGTGGATCGTTTTGTGTTTGTGACACCAACATGCAAAGGCACATAATTCAGAAGAGGGGAAAAAAAGTCATACTTGGCTGTTTCTCAAAAATCCTCTGAAACTTCTCTCTTTCGTATTCAACAGATTGTTGCATTAAATGCGGCCTAATGCTACTGACAGCAAAGTTAGCCATGTCCATTTTCATTAAGTTTAATACAGAGAAAATTGCTCTGAAAAAAAAAAAAAAGAAAAGAAAGATGTCATTTTTTCAAGCAGGGTTGCACATGTTTAAAACGTACAGTTTGTAAGATTTACTTAGCATAGATTGTCCAAGGAAATGAGCTATTAAGAACACTAAAAAAGCATGATAAGTATTGACGTGGAGCTTGAAGTGTTGGGAGAGATTGCCAGGGTAACGAAGCTTGTTCGCCTGTAAAGAAACTTCTAAGAATGTACTAGAGTCCTTTTCACAGATCAGTTCTCTTGGGACATGTGTCACCACATGCTGAATTTAGGAAAGACTTAGTTCTCAGCCTAACACAAGGCTTATCGCTATACATGTGCATACTCGGACCTCTGTCAACCTGTGCATGTATACTCTGCGAGGGAGCTAAATAAAAGTGAAAAGGTCATGGAAGAAATTAACTCCAATGTCTACTTAGGTGTAAACATTTCCATTTAAAAAAAGAAAAAAAAGATGTTCTCCTCTAAGGAAATCCTTACTATTGGAGACTACAAAGTTAGGAAATGCCTTAGTCAGGCAAGACACACAAATGGCTCAATACGCTACTGATGACAGTTAACAAAATTCCCTAAAACTGTTGATAACTTGCACAATTTATTTAAATGAGATAGTAACAAAACAGAAAATGGCATCTGACATATCCAGGCCCTATATGCTTTCCACTTTTAAACACCTGTAATACATTCTTTTATTACATATGAGAAAGGAGGTGGACGGGGAGAGATGAGGGAGGAATTGGCTGAAGAAGACCGTAAAGCTGAGTGAACGTTATTTTCTAATTTATTTAATGTATCAGCAGAAAGGAAAGTGAACAAGGAATTCATGCTTTTTCTTAAGACGGTCTCCCAGTATCCAGGGAAAGATCCTCTCACCTAAATATGGCATTTCAGAAAATGATTGTTTCCAATTACACAAAGGTACAAACAAATACCTTCAGTCCACCAGAACCAAAAGGGTCCTTGCTAATAGCTGCTGGAATTTTCTTCTTTATAATTTCCCCCCTCTGCTTGCTTTATATTTTTCCAGAAAGAAATTTTTGCTAGCAGACTGTATATGCTACCAGCATGCACAGATAAAATTTGGATCTTTAACAAGGATCTACAAGCAAATTTGAAATAAGTGACCCACAGTCTGATTCCTTGCAATTCCTTAACGTCATTCCAGTACCTGAATAGTGGGACTATTTCATGAATGTCTTTCAGTTTCTTAATTTCCTCATCTCTAACTGGAGCACAAAGGGTCCCCATCATTCCAATGATGAATTGTGCCAGCTTAGAAATATCCAGGGCCCCATTCACTGCCTCCTGCTTTATCAGATCCAGATCCAGAACTTCAGTAATCTGATTTCTTAATCTAGTATGACCAGGCAATAAGAAAGATAGAAGAGTCTGAAAGAAAACATTTTCATTTTGTTAGTTTTTCACAACAAACATTATTGTTTCACCATCTTCAAAGGAACTGAATAATGGTCTGAATTAACAACCAAATTCATACTGGATTTCTATGGCAGATGACATCTTAATAGTTGTTCAAAACATAGGGTCACAAAAATTACACAATATATTTTTTATATCATAGTTTTCCTGCATTCTATACAGTATTAGTGTTATTCAGATTGTAAACTCTTTGGAACAGGGAGGGTTTTTTCAGTGGTGGGAGGAAGGGCACACATGTATGCAGCGCAAAACCTAGCCTCTGATTATTTGTGCTTCATTAGCACCTGTCACATTTTGCTACTGCAATCTCAGAATTATTAAAGTAACATAACCTGCAACCTTCCCTTCATCTAACATGACTCGGCATTTCTTGCTTTCACATTGGATTACTTTTCCCCCCATATATGCATGCAGCTATAGATAAAGTTATTGTCTAGACTTCTACAGAGCACTTTACACACAGTTGTTATATAGCGATGGCATACAGTTTGTATATTTGTGCCATGTAATCTCTGTAAATTACTTCTGATATCACACATTCTTACCTCTTTAATCTCCCCCACAAGTTTAATTGAATGATCGTATGTTGGCGGATCTTCGCTTAACTGGGCTTCCAGACAATCCCAAAAAGCTTTGTGTACAATCTCTTTTACGGTTTTCTCCAGGCTGTTGGTAAACACAACAATATCAAAAGATGACAGTTAGTATCTTACATGTAATGAATTAGAGAGTTTAGAGGAGAAAACTGCCATTTTAATCAGGCACAAGAGTATAAAAACTGGAATGATTTGGAATGGCTGACTTCACAGCTGAAAAGATACATGCAGAGTAGGCGAAAAACAAAAAACAAAAACAAGACCCTTAAAAGTATCCAGAAAATGACACTTCTAAAAGTAATCTATAAAGAGAAGACAAATCACAAAATCATAATTTATTTTGTCTACACACGAACAACATCTGTGTTTCTTAGCAATACGTAACCCATTTAACTTCCTAGAAGCAGTGCAAGTCCTCTGGGTAAAATTTTGAAAAGTGAAACCAGAATGTGATAGCAGTGAGGTACTTCCTTCATCACTGAGCACAACTCACCGTTTGTCAAAATACATGGGCATTAAGATATTTTTTACTAAATTGGATGGCCAAATTCAGACTTAGTGTAGATAATCCCATTACTTCAACAACAAGTTACAAGTTCAAATGTTCTGATTTAATTGTGCAACTTTACTAAAGCCGCATATGTTCATACCAGATCTGAATGTGGCCTTGATCCTTTTTTGAAGATGCCTGGGGCTACCTTGGAATTCTTACTCCATTAACCACTGAAGTTCAGGCAGATCCTGAAAGCAGTAACCATTTGTTCCGAGAGCAACCTAAGGGTATGTCTACACTTCAAACGCTACATAGCTTCAGTCCAGACACTACCTGTGCCGACAGGAGGGGTTCTCCCATTGGTGTAATGGCAATTCACCTCCCTGAGAGTCAGTAGCTGGGTTGACAGAAGAATTATTCTGTCAACCTAGCGCTATCTAAATGGGGACTTATGTTGGCTCAGGATTTTTCACACACCCAACCCACATAGTTAATTTGACCAAATTTTCTAGTGTAGACCAGGCCCAAGAGTCAACCTTAGAGAGTTACTACAAAGGAAGAGGATGTTAAAGAATACAGAAGAGTAAAATAGTGGTGCTAGAATGAAGAAGTGGTGAAAAGCTAAGAAACGTTACAAAGCTAAGAAAACACATTACAATTCTTTCCATGGAATTTTTCCCCAAACGTATCTTCATATTCCACTCTTACATCCAAAGGATTGATATAAACTGCTATTTATTTCTATCAGTAACCATCTTACCTGCCTTCTGGTAATTCAGCTGGTTTAATCTGGAAGCCTCCATTGACTACAATTTCATGTGCTAATGCCATATTAGAAACTCCTTTCGCTGTTTCCATCAGCTCTTCCATCGACACAAGCCGAGGGGAACTAGCTGTAACATTAACAAATATATGACATTTCATTATTCTTTCAAAAGCTGGAGGTAAGATCCTCCTCCACCGTTCCGCCAGTCGGCCAGTACAAAGGAGATGAGAGCCAGTAGACAAACCCAGCTGAGGATGCCCTCGACGTTGTAGATCTGATGAGGCTGTTTTCTCTCCCACCCCAAAGGGACTCGTCAACAGCATTGTTGTGCTCCAATCAGCCATCAACTAGGCCCCAACATGCCTGTGACCTCTGCTGCATCAAGTCCCTCCTTAAAACACACATCTTTTAGGGCTATAGAATGAAGTCCTTCCCACAGTGAAGGGGGCAAACCATTTCTACAAAATATGCAAACAACATTGTGGGGCCAACAAGCTTCATATGCAACCTCACCATTCAGTCCTGGAGATTTCCGCTGCATTTATCATGTGCCCACTGCCATTTGGATTATACGTTTTTCAAGGCAGGGAGGGAATCTCATCTTCCAAAGTATCTGTAAAGCACTTACACCACCACCACCACGCAAGAAAACAGCTAGTTTCCCCTTCTCTACTTTCAGTGGAACCAGCAACCTCTTTGCCCCGTTTCCTGAAACCAGGGTCTTGCTATTCCTAACTTGCTAATGATTTCAAGGCCTAGCCTGTGTGCTGATGCCACAGCTTTTCTCCTTCCATTCATCTCTGTATACTCAACGGGACATGGGCTGCGCCACATCCTAGAGCACAGCAAGTAGCCGGAGACTGGGGTTTGGAGTGGCATGAGCATTAGAAAGTGCACACAGGAATGGGAGGCAGCAGTGCAGCAGGACACCACACAGAGCAGGTCCAGCTTTCATTAGGTAGTAAAGGAAAGAGGTCACTAGCTATAGAAAATTGGGAGGTGGAAGGTCACTGGGTAGTAAAGCCAAGCCTTGAAAACAGCACCAGCTGTCCGTGCTCAAATTTGTCCTGACTTATATACACACCAGTGGGCCAGAGCGGATATTGCTGTGATACAGAATGTGCCACTGCATTAGCAGCATGTAGCAATAAGTGTGGCAAAGATGATAACGATGCTGATATAACAGATGCTGATTAAGGGAGTAAAGTTGCACCCCCTAAAATCAACTGGAGCTTTGCTGTTGACCTTCTTAGGAGACGGTCACCCCCCCCCCGCTAGTAGCAGTGCCTATGTCAGTGCTAAGCAGCACAGAGACAGAGCAGGCCTCAACGAGCTATTCCGAGTAATAAAGCATGTGCCTTCCAAAAACTGAGAAGAAAAAGGAAGAGAGCTCTTCTCCGGTCCAATCATCTGTGAGAAGAGACTATATCATTAGCGCCATCAGATGAAGAGAGGGCTGGCCAGACTTCTCCCCAGCTGGACAGAAGGAAAAGTGAGAAAGAGGAAGATAAAGAACAACAGAAAGCAAGGACTGGTTGCTGTGTCACCCTGTGATTGTGATAATTCTGTCGCTTCAATTCCAATTTTGGCAAAAACATTACATATATAGATTACACACACCCCACACTGAAATAAAACTCCCTGAGCCATACTAATCACACACTGGGTTAATTTGGAATAGATTTTTTTTTTTTAGATCGACGAACAGGTTTATATGATTGGGTTTATGTGGGTAAAAACCTTCTACATGGAAGAGGCCCTTCATTAAGGGGCCTTTCCCCAACTGTCTGCTACACAAAGTGTCATTTATTTAATAAAGAATTACCTGTGCTACTTTGTCATAAACAGCTCTTCACCCAGCACTCTAGACACTTGTATGTTACTGCCTAGGGTTTGATCCTGCACAATGCCTGTGGGGAGTATTGCAAAGTCTGAAGTCATGAGCAGACAGGCAGTGCACTCACTCTGCATTTAAATCAAAGTGCTCTTGCCTGATAGGCAGGAATAATTTGGCAAACAGCAGAAGTAAAGACTAAAAAGGGAACCTATAGTTAAGCACCTCATTTGTATGCTGAAAAATGCACTTAAGCACATCTCTTGACCTTAGCCCCTTCTTTACCCAGCACTCATGACTAGATACCTCTCACTGCAGAGGACTATGCCTAACACTTGACTTTTGCGTTTGTTCACACATGCACTGCAGCACGCTGGACTCTCTGAAGGGCATCTTGCAATATCAGGGCTTAGAGCATAAATCCCATAGGGAATGGCTCCTGTGTTTGATACAGCTCCAAACACCATCATGCTCAACAAATAATTAGCACCGTTTTCAAAAACAAAAACACAAATAATAAAATGCATTGTATTCAATGGCTCAAGACATAATTGTTGCCAGGCTTTTGCAAATATCATCTGGGGTAATTCTGTTTCTTTAGCCATAAGCAGAAATCATACCCAGGGAAATTCCCATTTGCTTTTTCATTTGTTTTACCTATAGGGACTTGCAAGTCATACCAGACTTGTCAGAGTCAATAGTAATATCATAACCAGCTCCTACATTAAAAACAAAAACACCAAACCAGAAAGACCATACTCTGGCAATAAATTTTAACACGTGATGATCTGGCAAGAATGTTTGTCACTGCCCTGTAGCATTGGGACTGAAAATGTTTCCAGCCCCATTAAAGCTTCATTAATTTTCAGACTTAAGGTACACTTCACTGACTGGCAGAACCAAAAGCTGACACACCCTTAGATTTGACCTCTTTTGGGGGGTAAGGGCCATTTGAAGGTTCCTCCCACTTAAGGAAACAACTATTAAAACTATAAACCAAAGGCTACAACCCTCCAGAAAACTAAGCAGATGGATTGGATGATGTAACAAGAAAATGAGTATACTATATTGGGGCCAGATCCTGTAAATACTTTTAGACACTCAAATATTCCCACTGAAGTCAGATGACTCACAAGAGTTCTCAAATTGGGGGTTGTGACCCCTTATGTGGGGGTCACAAGCAGTCAGCCGCCACCCCCAAACCCCGCTTCGCCTCCAGTTTTTATAATAGTGTTAAATGTTTTTTTTAAATGTGGTTTTAATTCATAAAGGGGGAGCACTCAAAGGCTTGCGGTGTGAAAGGGATCATCAATACAAAAGTCTGAGAAGCACTGAGTTACTCAGATGCATAGGTATTTGCAGGTGCAGGCCCTTGGTTAGGATCACAGACACAGGCATGTACATGACATATGTAGAATACACCACTCTACTGATTCTGGCTCACAGTAATGTTAGGTGCAAAGGGCTGAAGTTTATTAATACCTGTGCTTTCCTTCCCCCCCTCCCTTATGGGTATCTCTAGATACAAACAGGACCTCTATTATTTGCCTGTGGGCTTTCAGCAACAATAGGGTTTAAAGTAGATGTAGATTTCACATAGTAGTGGAGGGTGTAAGAGACACTATTTCAAATGTTCATGGGAGCCTCCATTTCCACAGGGTGCTCTACAATAGCACTCATATTCTCCCCCAACAAAACACAGCACCTGGAGAATGACTACAAGAAACCTGATTGCGGCTCCTTGCTAGAAATTGCTAGAGGAGACCACACAGAGGCTGCCTAGGACGTGTAGTGTGCCTCTGACACCCTGCTAGTTTGGGACCTAAATTTGGATCCCTGTACTTTGCAAAATCGACCTGATACAAAAGCACAAAACAATTATTTAGAAAATGACAAATGGCCAAATTCTGAAGCTCTTATTCATGCAAAATTCCTATTTATTTAAATAAGAGTTTTGCTAACGTAAGGATTTGGCCAATAATTGCAAAAAGTGAACTGAAGGAACAACTCTTCTCTAGGAGGATGTGGGTGGTGATTTTACGATGGAAGGACAGCCAGGCAGGGTGGCAATCCCACAATGTTGATGAGCGCCTTCCACCCACGTTGACTTTAATAAGGATGGAGGGCATTTGCACCTTTAGAATCAAGCCCTAACCAACCAAGGCCAGTAAAATTATGAGTTGATGACAACGGAATTCCAGGACTTCTTCCAGTGACAGCTTTAACTTCTTGAATTTACTTCCTATAACTAACTGGAATGAATTCCTAACCTACTTTGGGGAAGAAACACATTTGTTGGTTTTTATTCTGGTACTGTGGCCTGATCAGGAGTGCTTGAGGGGTGCATTAACTTATGGCAGTCTTACCCAGCATGCCTATAGGCTGTTTCAAAGGACAGAAAAGCCAACCACATTAAAGAAAAAAAATGTTTGCTTCTCCTTTTTAATGGTTAATGATTGATACAATATTTAATTAATTACACAATAGTTAATTGCATAGTAACTAATGAGCCTTTTAAAGGAATCTAAACTTTTATCTTCGCAACAAGAAAAAAATGTATTTTTGTACTTTATTTTAACAGATTTTCTTACATTGAGCTGTGTTGCACCTGTGTGGACTTGAGGAACTTTGTCGTATCCTCGCTCTCATAGACTGATCTGGGTTGTTCAAGCTGTCCTCTTTGATACCCTCTGAATCGCCTAATTTTTCTTCACTTGTATGTGGAATATCAGGTTCCTGAGACATTTTCAACGTTTCTTTTTTTAGGGAAGAGAAAAAAAAAACAAACAGAATGGAACTGAATGGATATATACTCTTCCTGCCCTTGCAAAAAAAAAGCAAAATCAGAAAAATTCCCTGTATAGGTATAGATATATCAGAGATCCCCCCTCTTAATTTTTTTTAAAAGGTTTAAAATAAGGAGATCCTTTCAATGCGATTATCATTTACTCAATATTTTTGTTCACAAGCCCTCAAAAATCTGAAACGGTTTCCTTCCCATAATGTACATGATAGAGACAAAATATCTGGTTTGTTTTTTTAAGATTGCTAATGAGTGCTTGACTTTTTAAAATATATATTAAAAGACAAGAGACCCCGAAGCATTTTATGCACATATGTTACTTGGATTTTGAAGTTAGATAAAGGATAAAGGAATTAGATAGAGGAAAAGTAGATTACATTTTTAACCTACCATTTTAGAAATTATCCCTACTAAGGAGTGTAATAAAATGTTTTGCTCATATGTTCCAGAACTGTAGCCAAATTCTGCACTGACTTATTATCAGAACTCAGTGTAATCCACCTGAAGACAATGGGATCCACCTGCAGATAGTGAGGTAAATCAATGCAGAATCTAGCTCCTAAATTTTAATTCCATACAAGAGGCATGATTTATCCACACCAGGAAGTTAGGAGGATTTATTAAAAACCATAAAAAACCCTGATTTAAACAAACAGTAGTTGTGGAGATTACAATGTTGGATTTTCTAGCATAATATCACATCACATACACTTTAGAATACTTCCTTGGTACACTGCAAAAGTGGCATTTGTAAAATATTTTACTCAATTCAATAACTTTACTTCAACTATTTCACATTCACTTTTTCCCCTGAAGTATGTAATTTGCATGTCTTCATTTTAAAGAGTACCTACTATATATTAAGTTTCCATTCACTGGTCATGGCTTCAGGTAATAATAATTATAATACCTAGCTCTTAAATGGAAAGCTAAAAATATTAAAAAAATATATCATTGCTCTGAAATCAAATATCCAGCATCTCCTATTTCACAGAATATCCTCTGCATGGGGGGATGGGGGGGGAATAAAAAACAAAAAACCCACCACTTACTTTTTCACTTAATATCTGTGGACCACAGGCTGCAAAAGATGAAAGAGTCAGGCTGTCAGCAAGATAAACCATCCCAGGATCACCTCAAGGCTACTAAAGGAAAACTGGAGCATAGGCCTATACGGATGAGAAGGTAGCAGGAAGTAATACAGAAAAAAGACAAGAAGCTGCTCTGAGTTTTTTATACAATAATTAAAAGACTGAACCTGGTGCATCCTACCTCCCCCATCTTAGAGGAGGTAACAGGAAAACTCAATGAATTCTTGAATTATTTTGTATTACGTAGTGACTAAAGGGCCCAATTGTGCGAGGTGCTACATACATTCACGTAGTAAGAGACGGTCCTCTGTCCCAAACAACTTACAATCTAAATTGCCAAGACAGATAAAGGGTACGAGGCAGGAAGTATTATTATTCCCATTTTACAAATGGAAAAGTGAGACAAAGAGTTTAACTTGTGTAAGGTCACACAGGAAGCCTATGGCAGAACCAGTAACTGAACCCAGATCACTTGTGTTCCAGTCCAGCATTTTAGCCACAAGACCAGCCATGCCCCAATCTGTAAATTGCGCCCTAGAGAGGAAAAGCTACAGCATGCATTCCTCGCTGCGTGACTGAACCAGCACCGGAATCACTGACCATCTCTACATCACATTTCTAATCACTTGAGCCATCCAACCTCCACGTACAGGACTCCATCCAGTGCAAACAGACCAATGAGCAGAGAGCACTGAGACAAGAAATAGGTCCCATCCTTGAAACATGGTTCTGTAACCCACATGGATCTGCCGCCAACCTCCTTGCCCCATGGCATGCAAGGGATAACCTGAGCTCTTTCTGATAGTACAACAGCAGCCCCAACCAAGTTCCAGAGCCACCACGTCCCCAGTATACGAGAAAGGTAAGGATGGCAAGGTACCAGGATGTTCCATGAGCAGAAAGGGTAGAGCAAAGGGTCTCAGGCCTGGAGAATGATGGGTCACAGCTACAGTGAACAATGCAGCAATTAGGAGGAGGAGGTCTGATGACAAAAAGGCATCTAGAAGATGAGTACAATGATGGATGCTGTAGAAAAAACTAAGATGGATAAGGTAGATCTTGTTAAACAAATGGAAGACAAAAATTTAAAACAATTTGTATTTACTTTTTCTTGGAAAATAGTGCTGACACAAAATTTTCCCAAATATATCAAACAGATTAGATTGTTACTATCTATCCATTCACATAATGTGGTTTCCCCTACAGCCCCAATCTGCCGCTTCCTTTGAAAAATGGCTTCCAGAAATTCTGAATCTGAAGTGCAAGCATGGCTGTATTACAATCTCTCTCTCTTTATGCACCACCACAATATCTGAGTGTGTCACAAGCATTAATGATTTAAACCACACAACAACCCTGAGATATAGGGAAGTATTATCTTTATGTTACAGATGAAGAAATTGAGGCATGGAGTGGAATAAGTGATTTACTCAAGTTCATACAGCAGATCGCTGGCAGAGCCAAAAACACAGACTAGGATTTGGCAGACATGGGCTATCTCCCAACCTACTAGAACATCCTTCTTATGCTACAGGCTGCACTCTAATCGGTCAGTCTCCACAAAATAAAAGACCAACAGTTATACTCTCCAGGCTACACAGTTTCACATGTAAAATAAAAATTATTCTCCACATTTCATCTGTGCAGTGTCGCTTTGAAGAACTTCTATGCCATCTGATCAAAGACCTTTTATGCATTTGAGGCAGTATTTGTTAGGTTAGTGTCTAATTTTCAATAGTCTATTTTCACTAGATTGTTACTATTGTCTATTAGAACGTATCTAGAACAACTCCCGTTTGCACTGGTCAAATAAGCTTAACAATGTTTCTTCTGAATCAGCTAGCTGCATCTTTTGTAAAGAGATTGGAGTCCATTCAATTAAAATGAAAGGAGTCTGTTTCACTGGACTTCTCTTCACCTTCTTTTGACTAGAGAGAGAAATATAACAAATTTAAAATATTAAATTTCTTTTAAACTTAAAAATAATAATTTGCATGGACATGGCTCATTTCATTCAAGCACCTCAAACTGTCCTGCAAATATTGACAATGTTAAATAAATGTCGCAAAGCCCCTGTGAAGTATTATTTCCAGTTTTACAGATGGGGATTCTAAACCGCAAAGATGTTTAGGTCCCAATGCTGAAATGAGCTCCATGCGAGCTCTGGGATTTGTTCGTGTGTAGCTCATTGCGACAACAGTATCAAAATCACAAATCAAGTCACCATCCAGGCTGAGCACCTTGACTTCCCAGCTAGACAGATGATACTCACCCTTTAATAAGTGTCTCATCCAAAACCCACTGACTTCAATGGGAGTCTTTTGATTTCCATGGCCTTTGCATCAGGCCCTATCCACCTCGTGACAACCCGATTTACAACTTCATAAAGTAACAGTAGTAGTGAGCACTATTGCTCTCCTCTTTAGTAAACAAGCCAGGGAATCATGGGCTCTAGACTGCCAAGGCAAAATAAGCATGCAGAAATTGTTAACATTTACCTTGCTTTATTAATCCTTCCACGAAGTGCTGTAATATGATGCCCTGGGACACACTATGCTGCTGGAGCTGACCTACTGAATTAAGGCAAGTTCTAGAATTATTTGTTTTGCCTATAGTACTGTATGATTTTGCTAATGGTTCCTTACAGAATCATAGAAGATTAGGGTTGGAAAGGACCTCAGGAGGTCATCTAGTCCAATTCCCTGCTCAAAGCAGGACCAACACCAACTAAATCATCCCAGCCAGGCATTAAAAACCTCTAAGGATGGAGGTTCCACCACTTCCCTAGATAACCCATTCCATTGCTTCACCACACTCCTAGTGAAATATTATCACTCCTTTTGGGCTACAGAATATTAGGAATGAAGGAGTCAAGCCAAACACGCACAGTAGGATGGCAGGAATAATAGGCTTTACCCACACCCCCACTGCATACCTCAGTTATCAACCCCCACACACCATGCTTTCCACTCCACATGTAGGGCCAGAACTTCAACCCCAAGCAAAACAACAGGAACCAGACAGAAAGCGAGGCCTACCCTCCGCGCCCTGACTCAGCACTGCAGCAGGGACACGGGGGCCTTTCCGCAGACAGGGAGCCGAGCCCGCCAGCCACAAGCCAACGCGCGGGCTTCCCTGGGGGCTGCTCCCCCAGCAGGGATGCGGGACGGAGCTGGCCTCCTCTTCCCCCCAGGCACCGCCTTGCACACACTGGCAGCGAGCGGGCGGGCGGGCAGCCCCAGCCCCTAGCGGGGGGGGTGAGGTGTCTCTCCAGCCCCCGTGGGGACAGGGAGCGGCCCGGGGCGGGGACAGGGGCGCGGGTGCTGGCGCAGGACCAGAGCATGGGCCAGGCTCCGCGCCCCTCGCTTACCTGGGCGGCGGGCTGGGGAATCCCTTGGCGCCGGCAGCCCCAGTGACTCTAAGCAGCGGCAGCGAGGCGCAGGCAGAGGGAGTGGGCGAGCGCCCGCAGCTCTCCCCCCGCACGCCGGGCCCCGCTGCTCGCTCCGGTGCCGGGCTACGGTGTGTGGGGGTTTCGCAAAAGGCCGGGAGCGGCCAGCCTTGCGCAGGGCGGCGTCATGGCTCTGAGCCGGGAAACAGGAGTCGCCGCAGCAGCAGCAGCAGGGCCGGGAGGATGCTGCGGAGCTGCAGCCAGCCAAGGCCCGGGGGCGGCGCTGGCTGCACCAGCCGCTGGAGGGGGCTGCGGGCAGGAGCGAGCCAGCTAAGGAGGGGAGAGTGTCTTGGAAAGGGAGCATGCCAAAGACACAGAAGAGGAGGGCGAGAGAGTAGGGAAGTTTTCTTTACAAAAGAAAAAAAGCCAGATGTCTGACATGCTATGAATAAAGACTATATATATATATATATATATAGACCAGGAAATGTATTTCGTCTGTTTAAAAAATTGATCCCTTAATTCTTTAAAGTGCATAATTTTCCTTGCAACTAAGCTGTGGTTATTTTGATTCAGTTAAGGTCTTATATAATGGAAGACTAAAAGCCCTTAGGGTAGATGGCTTGTAAAACTGATTGTGATAGGGTAGGTTATCTTTTTACACACACACGATCAGGATAGAAAAGAAATTTTAACAGTGACAAAAGTTAGACTTATTACGGCATTCAAATTATAAAGCTGTTGTCGGGTGAATGCAGAGTACTTACCACTGTCTATCTCCCTGTGGCTGCGTGGCACGGCCGGCTTTCCTCATCTAGCAGTACCACCAGCTCCGGCCCTGGTGCCGTCTGCCTCTTCTCCTGAAAAGGCCCTGCAATCAGGTCATCATAGCATGTTCCCCTCAGTCTGGGGTAACAGAGTCCAAACAAGAATCAGACATCTTTAAATTGGATCTTCATCCCCTGACTCTGGGCTCCGTGGTCCTTAGAGTCCCCTCTTACAGCTTTCAAGAGTCCCTATCCCCTTATATCAGGGGGCTTCAAACCACATTCCCTTATGGTAGGGGAACCCAGGCAGCCCTCCTCCTCTGGATTCTAGCCCAGGGACTCTGTAGTGAGTAGGCAAGAGCAGTCAGTTCAGACCTACTTCCAGCTACCTCCCTGGACTTTGCTATGTCAGGCTAGTAGCAGGGTACCTACCGTCCCTTCCTAGGCCCACCATGTACCTGTATTCTTCTCAGGTACCACAGCCTCTCAAGATTCACCCTTCTTTCCTGGCAGGGCTTAACCAGGCTCCTCTTTAGCATCCTCCAACAAATCCCAACTGAAAAATATAAACTGACAATAACTTCTGTCCTCCTAGGGCTTGGCTTTTCATCCTTCTTTAAGTTTTCTCCTACTCCAATGAGAATGCTTCCCAGAAGTCTGCCCTTTTAAATCAGGGCTCATCACCAGAGCTTACTCCGGGTCTCTCTTGACCCTTTGCCAGAGTGTCAGTGCAGGAGAGGAACCAGGCCTCCTCTGCCCCAAGAAACCTTTTGGCCTGCAGCCCCACCATAGTAGCCAGCCAGCTCCTCCCCAGCTGGGTTTCATCCCACATTTGTCCTGGCCCAGCCTGCACCTGCAAACAGTGCACTAAGTGAGCTCCCTTTAACTGTTTCAGTGCCAGTAGGGGGGTTTACACTCCATCACAATGTAGTCTGGTTTTTGGAAAGAAAAGGTAAATAATTTTTTCTAATGGAATTCTGGACCATTGTTATGGATTTCCCCACTTTATTTACTACTATTTCTGCCTTTTCCAATAATCAGATATTTGAATAAGGGCTCTAAATCAGAGGTCTCCAAACTGTGGGGTGGGATGTACAGGAATGTTCAGGAGGTGGGGAGCCCAGGCCAGCCCCCATGGGGGGCAGGGAGGGAGCACCACCCAGTTCCGCCCCCACCTATGACCCCAGCTGCCAGCCTCTAACCCCTGTCCGTATCTCCACTGGATAGGAGTAAGGGAGGGTGCGATTTAGGGAGCACTGCTTTAGATTAAGTTCCTGAATTTAAAAAAAGGGGGGGGGGGGGGAGGTATCAGTGCAGTATATACAGTTACATATTCTCCAAAAATCTATAGCCAAATAAAGAAAAGGAATGTACTTAAGCCTGGATAGTCTTTGAAAGTCATTATGTTCTAGACAATATCTTCCCTCTCAAGAACTAAAGTATTATTGGGTTTTTCCTTACACGCAACCCCAGATTACTCAATATCAGCTGTTCTTTATGTGAAAATACTCTAAAGTATGTGTAAAATTAGTTGAGACACTCAGACTGACAGTTGTCTACACATGGTATTTCTTGCCCTATTACATCAACTATTAAGGCAGTTTGAAGAGAGGAAGCTCTTAGAACAAATTTGGTACAAATGGGCACAAACAGTTCCCACAGAGCTAGGATAGTAATAGCAGGTTAAAACCAGCGTGTTAAAAGTGTAGCAATATTGCTTGACAAAAATAAGCCTTGTCACTTGCTACCAAAGCTTTTTCAAAATGGATAACTACCTCTTTGTAACTCTTGCTTTTTATGTCACCTTCTAGAAAGGAGAGGAAACAATTATTCTTTGCCTCAAATAGGTGTGAGGAAGAGGGACTAGAAAATTTAAAGAGGGACTAGGAAGGGGGAGGGAAGGGGAGGGGAGGGAGTCTTGAATCCTACTACCTCACACCTAGTTTGTTTTTCCCCAGAATGCAATAAAGGTGGTTTCAGCACTCAATCAATTCACTTAAAAAAATAATCCACCAGAACAGAAGCAAAAATACAGATCAGCATAGACTGAGCAGCCATTTGTTGCACAGAAAATTATATATTGAATTAATAGGGATCACTGCCTATGCACAATACTTATCTTGACTTCTGCAGTATATGAAATTCTACGGTTTCATGGAGGGGAGAGTGGAGCTGTCATATTATAGAAAAGATTATGTAATATTTGCATAGAGGTGTTGTATGTGCTCATTGCTGTTCTTACTGGAGTACTAGGTAATGTGCATTTTGTAATAAGTCTATACTCCTACCCTTCAAGATGAGGCACTTTATGGACATCTTCAGAAACAGGCTTGGATTTAGGCAGCTCAATGATTCATTTCACAATACTCACTCTGATCTTGAGCCAGTGCAAAGACCATTTCAATGATCTGCCATATGTCATGAATTCTCAGATTTACAGCTGTTAGGCACAGTTCAATCTCCATCTTGAATGTAGTTAAAAATAACCTAATAAGAAAAATATAGCAAGAGCCTATCTTGCTTTAGCTACACTGAATCAACACTGTGTCTGAAAGTCAATTGACTTCAGACCCATTAAGTAGCATCAACTATTGTTGATCTTTCTTCAGGATAATTCACATTTAGGAGCCAAGGAGCAGAGCGTCATTGGGAGCTGGAGGAACAGCCATCTAGTTTTTTTGCCCCTGTAGTTCAGCAACCCTAAACGGCAGTGGCTATTTGCATTATAGCACACTAATTAACCATCCTTACTCTCCCAAATTAAATAGTAGATTGTTCCGCACCAATGAAGGCAGACAGCAATAATGCAATTTAGAGTTCCTGTACAGCAAGGGACATACATAACGAAGGGAAACTGTTTTTACTGGCACCAACAGCTTGGCGAAACCCTCTCAACTCCAAGTAAGGACAAAGATGGCTCCACGTCATTGAAGAGACTGATGACTACGCTCCCACTAATCTTTAAGAGTGCAATAGGAAGATACATTGCAGCCTCCAGGGTTTCACTGTGGATTTATGTGGACAAATCACATGTCCACATTGTAGAATTCAAAATCTCTGTGTTTGTTCCAAAATCACTAACTGTAGCTAGAAGGTTCATACTAAGAGCACTCCATCACTGACCATTACTTTGCAGTAACCAAGATTCATTAAAGCACTCAGACTGGCTTTTCTGCTAAACCAGTTGATATCCAGCTACAACTGAATATTATCTTTTCTACAGCAACTCTAAAGCCATTAAAGTCAATGGGAGTTGAGGGTACACAGCAGGATCAGGCCCTTAATGATCAAGTCATTCCCCCATTAAGCTTAAATTGGCACAATTAGTCATCTTAACATGATGAGAGTTCAATTAGTTTGATACAGGTTGTGGAATACCAAACAAGTGTTTACACAATTTTCTAGACTACTGTGGTACTGCATTGGTTAAAAAAAAGGAAAGATAGGTTACCTTGAACTATGTCTTACAAGGGCAGTTAGATTAGACAGATTCAAGACCAAAAAAATTGCTGGAGGAGGGGAAATAACCCCCTCCCACTCCCCCCCGCCAAAAACCAGTCCCAGGCAGCCAGAAGTAAATACTTTTGCTAAGTGACTCACTTTCCATTGTCACAGAACTTTACTTCCGTGTTTGAAGAAAGTAATATTAAAAATAATACAGGGGTTGGGATTCTTCGTTTCAGATTTCACTGCCATTGTTTTGGCAATTCAGCAACAAAAATTTAAAATGAGCACTCAGACTGTTTCATAAATATCAGCTGCTTTATAAAAGCAACTGAAGACCAAGTTTATAGTTTATAATTTGATTAATTACTTGTAAATTCCATTCATCTTCAAAATAATTTTATTATGTGGATGAATACAAAATCTTTAAAAAAGACATTAGTGTTTTGAAAACTACTGTACAGATTACAATTTCTTTAATTTTAAATTACACACACATATTAGTAACTCTGTCACCAAAGTATTGCATGAAAATAGTTGGATTGCTACTATGAAATTGACCTAGCAGCTTCTTTCTCTCCTTGGCAGAGATTTTTGTATCTTCATCAATAGTTTTTAGCAAAGATAACAGCTCAGCTTTTGTGGTCTTCTGAACACTGTAGTGATATTCACTTTGATCAAGTTTCTGGCAGAAGGTGTAGCCTAAAGACATGTGAAAGACAGTCAGATAATTTACAAGCAATAGGACAGAATTAGCCATCCTGTAGATTTTACAGGCATGTTTGCCTTTAAGATGGTTTTGTACCTTTCATGACACACCCAGTTTTAAAAAGGATCCTTTGATGCAGTCTTAGGCTGCAGTTTTAGTGAGATTACATATTTGTCCAGATTACAAAGAGAGTGACT